TTGCTCAAGCTGCGCGCATCTGTGAAGTCAAAGCAAAAACGTTGACCAAAGGATACACTTTTCCCTTCTCTATATAAACCTTTAAGACCTAATTTTTAGGCAATCTTTATCTTGTAACCAGTTTCTCTCCAAGAAAAACAGTTTGTTCTTGGAGATCTTTTGTAAGCTTTTACTTTGAATCTTTTAAGTTTAAGAAGTACTTAGTTTGCTAATCTTGTCTTAATGATGATTTCTAGCTTTCTTTACCTCTTTGCTTTCGGTTCGAGTATGAGTAGCGAGTAGTTCTTTAGAGGTTTCGAGGGTGAGATTAGGAAAGGTCAGAGCTTTAGCTTCCTGTTAACCTCTTCCTTAATCTCCCTTGACCAGCTTTTCTTTAGCTAGAGCTTTATATCTCGGCTTCTTCTTGATCACTTGAAGTCGCGAATCTAGGCTAGTACACCTAGAAGGTGTTTGCGTTAATGCCTAAGAGAGCTAGCGATAGAGAGAAACATTCCCAACCTAAGAGATTGGTTGTTGGGATGTATCTTGTGCACTTTTAGACTAGATCTTGTGAAAGCTTGTAACTTTGAGTCCACTAGTGAGAGCTAGCTTTGGATTCTCAGCTTGCAAAGCGATCTGACCACGAGAGTGGCGGATTTACCCAAAGTCTAAGCACAAAGCTTGAGTCTTGGTGTGTTGAGAAAGGAAGGTTGAGCTCGTTTGATCCCAACTAATCTCACCCAAGACGCCTCCTTTATCTTATATTGTTAAAGTTTAAATCTTTCTTTCATCTTGTTAGCTTAAAGCATAGATCTTTACAAAACAAAACCCAATCTTTTATCAAAACTTGATCTTTGCCTTTTCTTTATTTCGATAGTTTGAATCTCCACTTGGATTGACATCTCAAGTACTACAATGACATGAGTGGTATGGATTGAGAGTAGTTGATACAAAAATCCTACTTATCACATATACATAATTATTTTCTGACCGGACCAAGCAAGTGGGAATTGGTGGTTGCTATTAGGTCGAAAATCAGAACAAATCGGAGTTTGGCCGTAGCAGATGTTTCATCAAAGCTTTGGAGTCAAGGTTGAATGGGGAGGCGAAGTGTTCAGAGCATGGCTGCGAAGTCCGCAAATGGGGTTTGGATATTTTCCAACTGGAAAAAGACTTGACGATGCATATATCAATCGTATTTCCATACTTGACGGAAATTTCAATTTGATCATCAAGTGAACAATATCAAAGAGATTTCGGATTATATTTAAGGTTATGGCGTCAAGCAAAAAATAGATAAAGAAACTGAGACGGGTGGTCCAGGAAATGTCTAAATATGATTAATAAATATTAGTGGAAAATAAACTTGGTTTTACAATAAATATTGTATTTTATGGGGTTTTACAAAAAGTTTTAATAGAGAATTTGCCCAATAATTATATAACAGTGCAAGTCTGCAAGAGAAATAGTGTTGAAGATTAACCTCAACGTCCAATATGTATTCTCCAGCTTTTTTTTTAGCGTTCTAAAACATTGAACATTACTCATCTGTATATCGTTGATTGTGGTGTGGAGGATACATAGACTACATTATATACATCATCCATAAATGTAGTCATCCGTAATTATATATGCATTTACATAATTATATATCTACTAGGGGGTGATCCGCGCTACGCATGGGTGGTGTTAGTTTTACTGTTTTTCCGCCCCATCCAGTCCCATCATATTTTATATCTTATTATGTTCATTTCCATTTTGTTCTTATCTCTGTATCATCTCTAAAAATAATTAGGGGTAGGCAAAATTCCCATCCCGTCCCATTATGTCCTTTTTCATCTCGTCCCGTCCAATCCAGTCATGTTTCATTTCTTTTCATTTTGTCTCATCCAACATTTCTGTCTTATCCTCTCTCATCATGGTTTTATCGTTTTTTCCGTTCCACCCCTAAATATAATTAAAGGTAGGCGAAATTTCTGTCTTGTCCTATTCCATTCTTTTCAGTTTATTTTTGTTTTCTCGTCATATTTAATCTCGTCTCTTTTCATCCAAAAATAATATTGAAAAAACAGTGTTCTTTGCATAATATATTATTATTATTATTAATCGTTTTTTTAAGATTTATACATAATATTTCTTTTCTTTTACAAAAATGACTTTTCAAATTTTTGCAATTTAATGATTATAATGAATGATCATAAAGAACTAAAATATAAGAAGAGAAAATATAATAAATTAAAATTAATAAATACATTACTGACATGACTAATTGGTGAATTTAGAAACATCCACTTTAGGTGAGGTGGCAACACGAGAATAGAATCATATAAACTTTATATATATACAATATATAGATTTCTGTATCAAACCCAGTGAAGTGGGATTTTCCTTGCGCATTCTTTTTTAGTGCGATGTGGAAGCCACAAGGTAAGGCACTTGTTCAAATCAATATTTAATTTTTCTAGTGATATCTTCCATTTTTAAGCAATATAGTTTCAAATATCTTATTTATATCTTGTGAAAATACAATAAATTTACGTCTGTGCGTGCATGGAGTGAAATGTCATTTGACGTCATCACATGATCACTATAACTATAGCTTTTGGATATGTTTGTCTTTTTTAGTTAAGAACCCACATAACTTTTTTATGTTTTGTCATGATCAAACTATGAGCAACAAGATAACTACTTTTACCTATTTTTAGTTGTGGAAGAGAATGAGTTGGAGATTGCTGTCTCCGTGAGACTTGATGCATTCATAAATGAGGTTAGTAAGAAACATAGAGATGAATGCATCAAGTCTACGTATCAAGTTTCTTATTAACATCATTTATGAATGCATCAAGTCTCACAAAGACGCAATCTCCAGCTGATTTCTCTTCCACAATTAAAAATAGGTAAGAGTACAGTTATCTTGTTACTCATAGTTTGATCATGAGAAAACATAAAAATTTATGTGGATTCTTAACTAAAAAAACAAACATACCCAAAAGCTATAGTTAAAGCGATCATGTGATGACGTCAAATGACATTTCACTCCATGCACAGACGTAAATTCATTGTATTTTCGCAAGATATAAATGAAATATTTGAAACTATATTGCTTAAAATGAAAGATATCATTAGAAAAATTAAATACTGATTTGAAAACAAGAGAAATACCTTGTGGCCTTCACATCACATTAAACAAAATGCGCAAGAAATATCCCATCTCAATGGATTTGATACAGAAATGTATGTATATAATAAACTGTTAGAAGAAACATAGTGAGAGACAATCGATTCTAAAAGGAAATAACTAACGAAAGACTCACCTTGCGATTTCAGACATTTGTTATCACGATCCATATAGTTGAAAATTAGTTTTCCACCTGAATTTTGCATGAGCAAAACATAAGTGGCATGAGAAATCCAACTGAAAAATTTGAAGTCAGATATTAAGTTGCCTAACAATTTGTAGCGACACGATAAATTGGCCATCATGATAACTACAAAGTCCCAATGAACTAATCCAAGTAAACAAAAACAGGATATATTAACAACGTATTAATGGACGAATTAGCTTATTCACACATTTCTGTTATCTATAAATATAGGTGAACACTGATTTATTGACACAATATTTTTATAAATGGTTGGCACAGTTAAGTCCATGAAAACCTAGATATTTTAAAAAACTAGAATAGACTCGATAATTAAGAGTTTCAGCAAACAACAATAGATATTGATTTCAGGTTTAAGGAATCCATGAAAACAGATTATACAAACAATCATAAGAGAGAACGAGATATATAGTGAACATACCATGACAGGTCTATTAGACAGAGTATACGAACAATGCATGATAGGCTTGTAGAACAAAACGTTATGGTGAAAATTTGCTCCTGAGCAGTCACTTAATTCATGTGTAAAATAGCAAAACTATCTGATAGGCTAGCACCATCCCGGTCCTTAAACGCCTGCAATCATTGGAATCACATAAGAAAACGTCAAAATAAACAAAGATCACGTCAAAATAAACGTCAAAATAACTCTGAATACATTTTTTGCATGCATCATAACCACATAAAGTATATGAAAGAGTTGAGTTGCTAACAAGGTTGGGTTTCGGTGACGGTTGGTTACGTGAACACTATTGATCCTCCCAAGAGAAGCCAACCTGACTACATGTACACGATAGCTTCCTTTAAGTCCATTCAAGGAAGCTACGGTGGTGTACACGTAGTCAGGTTGGCTTTTCTTCAGATGATCAATTGTGTTCACGAAGTTTCAGGAACCCTAAGGCTTGCTCTAAACATTCATATGCTTCAAGCAGAGACAAGTGCATAGTTGATTTGAGGATTTGTGACCATTACGGCAGGAAATGCAGTGCGGCATTTTGGACAAGTACACTTGCCTGGACCAACAGTACATTTTCCAAAACACTTGAGACAGAAATTGTGCCCACATGGTCCCTGCAAATACACAGACACAAGATATCGGTTCACAATATCAAATACTCAGCAAAACTTACTGGTTTTGAAAAACAGACCAGTAACAGCAACCAAAAACCAATACAAAATTGATCAACCATAAGCAAAAGTGTACAGTTATAAACACTCATCTGCGTAAATTAAACATGATAAAGTAGCCATCATGATACTAACTGCAACCAAAAACGAATACAAAGTTGATCAACCATAAACATAGGTTCAATTGACTTATTATCACAAATTTTTCATAACTGGTTAGCACAACTAAGTCCATGTTCGATGTGTAGTTTCATGCAGCGTGATCGTTGGGAAAAAAAAGAGAAGAAGATTCCATAAGAAAAGCGAGATCTAAAATAGATTCCCGATTTCACATATTCATCAAACCAACAAAAGACCCCTAGATATTGAAAACACTAAAATAGATTCGATATTTAACAAAGTTCACCAAACAACAAACACAACCCCTAGATTCCATGAAAACAGATATACAGAAATGGAGGGAAAGAGGACAAACCGGTCTCTCAGGCAATTGCATACAGAAAAGGCAATTCAGGTTTTCTCTGAGCGTGGCCAAGACATCATCATCTCCGACTCCCGCATCATTGTTCTCTTCTTCCTCCACACCGACTCCTGCATCTTCTTCGCCTTTTCTGCTGCGTCGGTCAGAGTGGCATCAGCCCCAATCGCGTGAATCGCAGCCATGAGATCCGAGCAATCGGGACACTCCCACAATAGAGTCGAAGCGAGAGTTTCCGGAGGGGAAGACAGGCAGGAAGCGTGCCAAGGCGTAGTGCACGTGCCGCGGAGGAGATGCTTTGCACCGCATTCACATACCCTGGAACCTGCACCATTTCGATGATGAACACGTGGCCGAATTAGAGAGAGGATTAGAGAGAGATATAAGAGTTGTTTGGCTTCGAGATGAGATTGAGAAATGTGGCTCCGGTATTTAAGGGTGGAGACAGGAGAGGGGAGACGAAAAGTGGAGGAGCGGGTCTTTTAGATTTTTATTTTTTTATTTTCAGTCAACAAAATGAAATGAATATAAAAACAAATAATACATGTATTTCTATAAAATGGACGAAATTGCCAAAAAAAAAATCCGAGAAAACAATAAAACCAAATCAACTCATTAGGAATAAAATATCTCCTAGTTAGGAAATAAATCTCAGCCACATCCAACTGTGATTTGTTTTAATCTGGACTAATTTAATATTATCAAATGACATTGTGTTAAGTCATGCGTATTGCCATTTGTTTTAATGTGGCCTAATTTAACAAATCATCACTTATGCGTATACCTGCTTAATTGTTTTAGGTGTATCAAAACTTAGTTAAGCAATGCCTATAATGCACAAAGCAACTGAGAAAGTTTTCAACAAAACTTTTATAAGAGGAAACAGTCCCGGGAGAGAGGGACTGAATTCAATTCGCTGGCGCACAAGAAAGCACTTCACCGTTTGCTATGATAACGTATGTCTCAGTATACGATAAATTTAATAGGATCCCAAAACTTTAGTAACCTTATATCATATTGACTAAACAATCTCTAGAATCTCGTTTTTGAAACACATTCCTTAATGTATATACATAATTTTACATTTTTCGAATTAATAAAATATCGTATTTTCAATATCACAATATTCAAATATTTAAAACAGTACTCTAATAGTTATCTTATATGATTTTCCCTCTTATATGTTATCTTATATTAAGCAATAGGGAAAATATATATATATATAGTTGGTGTCATTCTATTCTCAGGCTGTCATGTCACCAATTATGGATGCTTCTAAATTCAGTTTTTTTCCACGTCGGCTCTGTTTGTCCTTTGATTAAAAACGTTCTTCTCATGGGCTTTCTTCACTGCGAAACTAAATTAAATTAAACACTGCTGAATTTAGTGACACCCTCTTCTGTTGAATATATTAAAGTTCATGTGATTCTCTTCTCAAGCTGCCACCTCAACAAAAGAAGGTGTCTAAATTCATCATTTCAGCACAAACATTTAATATATCATATTTTATCATTTTTATAATTTTTATAATAGTTATCATTCACTAAATAGGCTTAACAAGAAAAGTCATTTACAAAAAGGAGAAATATTTTATATAAATCTATAAAAACTATTATTTAATAATAATAAAAAAAAAGATTATACAAAAAAAAAATTTATAGTATTTTTGGATGAAAAGAGACGAGATTGAATATGACGTGACGAAAAAAAGAATCAGAGAAGAGGGGAATTTCGTTTACTTCTTATGATATTAAGTGACTAGACGAGATCTAAAGGAACGAAAAAGAACGGAAAAGGACAAGAACGAAAATTTTGCCTACCTCTAATTATATTTAGGGATGGAACGGAAAAAACGAAAAAAAAACATGATGAGAGAGGACAAGACATAAATGTTGGACGAGACAAAATGAAAAGAAATGGGATGTGACGGAATTTTACCTACCCCTAATTATATTTAGGGACAAGACAGAGATAAAACAAAATGAAAATGAACGTAATAAGATTTGATGGGACTTGATGGGGCGGACAGAACGAACGGGATGGGAAAGAACATGAGAAGATGAAAAGGAACATAATGGGATAGAATTATGTCTACCTTAATTATATTTAGGGAACGAGACAATAATAAACAAAATGGAAAGAATCATAAGGGGATAGGAAATGACTGAACGGGACGGGACATACATGACGAACGAAACGGGATGAAAATAAACGAAATGGGACGAGATAGAATACGATGGTACAAAAAAATTGCCTAACTCTAATTATTTAAGTAAAATGTGTATCATATCTTTGAAACAATATTAAATTTGCGGAAAAACAATAAAACTAACACAACATGCGTGTAGCGCGGGTCCCCCTAGTCATAATATAAAAAACAAACATAATCTCTGAACCCAAAACTTAACAAGAGTGCCATCATAGTTTCAACTATATAAATGCAATACGATACTTTAAATCTTGAAAGATTTAGTTACAAAAGAGATATCAAAAGGACAGTCGTCCTCGTGTCCATGACTTCTTCATGCCAACATCCGTACACTCGGCCCTGAGGTGTAGATAAACAATTTCGCAAGTTTAACATATAAATCACTAAACTTTTAAAACAACATATTCATAATTATAATTTGTCTGAAACCTCACATTCTTTTAAACTCCTCAAATCCTTCATCCGCAACATCCTCCAAAATATCAGAAACTCCTTCAACACTCGTCTCTGACGTTTTCTATACAAATAAAGGCTTTCAATATCAAATAATATTGGCAAAAATTATTGTATAGGCATATGGAGATTTATAAAAACACACCAAGTCCTAGACGTTTTACTAAAACACATCTTTTGTATATCAAACGATCAATATTATTTTTATGTAGCATGTTTACACAAAACACGATAACAATATAAATTTGGACGATAATATTAGCTTTGAAATCACCAATTTCCATAATCTTAAGACACAAAAAGTCTGTCAGATCGAAACATTTTGTGCTTATTCAGCTTTCTTCTGACCTGCTCAATATATCTCCCAGTCGCTAGGCAATGTAAATCGTTACCACTTACAAAATACATGAAACAAACTTTATTACTCAATGAAGTATAGGTTTCAATTGTCTAATATTTTGACAAAATAAAACATAGATCCGGAATTTCAACTTACTTGATGTCCCTTATAGTGAAATTCATGTACTTATTATCTTCGTAAGGCTCAATTCTTTCACCATTCTCATCTTTTAAGGTTTTTTCCAACCCAACTCTAACAATAACACCCATGAGAGTATATATATAAGAATAATTTATGGAAAATTACATTCTGAAAATATTTAAATTCACTAGTGTGATTATAAGAGCCTTTCACAAGGTGTTTCATGTGTCGATGCTGAGGAAGTGTCTTCACCCTATAGAGAAGTTAGTGGCTAGAATTTCAGAGGATCTTCAGCCTGATTTGACAGTGCCGACAGTGCATGTGACGATTTTGGAGAGGAGGGATAATAAGGTTCTGAGGAACAAGAGGAATCCTTTGCTGAGAGTTTGTGGGATTGTAGTGGTTCTATAGAATTCAGATTTTATCAATGTAACATCCGTAGACCAAAGAATTCAGATTTTTCTTTGGTGTCGGTCGACACCAATGGTTAAAATCGATTTCTGGTTCAATTTAAGTTCGGTTTATCAATTGTACGATCTTTGTTCAATTGACATTAGTTCTCCCATGTATTTCACTTTTTTTGGTTTAATTTGGTATTTTATTTATAATAAAACTACGAAAACTTGTTATTTTAAAATTTGTTAAGATTTATGGACATATATTTGCATGTAATTAAAACGAAGTCGTTTTATGTATTTTATTTTTCTCCTCTGTGTAGGGTTAAATTTTCGTGCTATAAAAGGTTATGAGTCTCATGTTTTCAACTCCGCCCCTCATATCACGAAGATAATCTAAGTTGGATTTTTTCTCGTCGCGGAGAGATTTTTGGTTGGATTTCGATTGCATCAACGAAGAACCCTTGAGGTTATAACATTTTGCGAAAGGTATGTGCCAAGTAGAAAATCAATTACAGTTTTATATGCCTTCTATCTAATTTTATAAATTATACTAGATCATGATCCGCACTTACAGCGGATTGTTGTTTTTTTATAAGTATTTTATTTAAATTTATATATATCCTCCAAATTTCTAGGATAACAGATCTGTGATTCGAGATTCATTTCACTAATAGAGTAATGGAGCTTTTAGATTTGAAGAATTTGATGTATAGTTTAAGGTATCTAGGTTCAGTTCAAAAATAGGGATTGTAACTATAGGACTTGTATCTGGTAATTTTATTAAATTAAGAATATCCCCATTCATCTTTAAAACAAAATATGTATAAGATTTATACAAACATGTTCTAATTTCTTATGTAATATCTATATTGTAGTTTATTTTGTGATTTAATCTTTTACGGTCTTTCAATTAATTATTATTTTAATTATCCTTAGTAATATAGCAGGAATAAAGGTATCTCCCATGCATTTCACTTTTTTGGGATTAATGTGGTATTTTATTTATAATAAAACTAGGAAAACTTGATTTTTTATTTTGTTAAGATTTATGGACATGTATTAACTTGTAATTAAAACAAAGTTGTTTTATGTATTTTACTTTTTCTTCTCACGTAGGGTTAAATTTCTTGCTATAAAAGGTTATGAATCTCATATGTTTTCAACTCTGCCGCTGATATCACTAAGATAATCTAGGTTGGTTTTCTTCTCGTCTAGGGTTAAATTTCCAACTTTTGTAGAAAAGAAAAAAGAAAATAAAGAAACATTAGTAGTTGTACTCTTTATACTTGATAATTGATAGAGATGTGTAACTGGTGAAATGGCAATGATAATGCAACTTAGATAAATGGTAAATGCGGCATAAGCTTTGGCAATGACACAAAATTCGCAAATGGCAAAGTTGCAGAAGGACATGCAAGCTTTCCAGTTACGGAAGAAGCATTGGCAATCAGATCGGCTCTACACCACACACTGGAGAACTGGAGAAGAGATATGCTTCTTTGCATGCATATCAAATCTGATAGAATAGAAAATCAAGGATATCTACGATCTCCTTTCCTATATTAAAACTCTTGCACTTATGTTTACTTCTGTTCCTATATCACATAATTCGAAAGCTGATACTCTGGCAAAAGCTACGATTCGCGAGGTCCTCCTGGTCTTAATTTTTGCAGAGGAGCCTACATGGATTCAAAATAATATTTGATTGCGCCATTTGTCATTCCGTACATTCGTAATTGCCTTGGAGATGACTTCCCGCGGCGTGAAGGTCCTCTTCTCAAAGATTTTACAATTTTGTGCACCCCATAATTCCCAGCAAATCCATGGAAAAATTGATCCTGATTCAAGTCCCGTTGGCGGAAGTCTGATCCAGGTCATTGACTCATGGAGAATCGTTGAAAACGATTGTGCTTGTAAGGGGTCAAAGTTAGTGCGCATAGGGGCCAACCATGTTTGCTTAGCAAACTCGCAAACTGATACATAAGATTTTAAAATTTTAAACTTAGCTATATTTTTCGTTTTTATGACATTTAGACAGTAAATTGTTACATTTATAGTACTTGTCATTTTGGTTTTAGTTTCCTGTGAATTATCCTATAGAGAAAGTATCATCAACCATGGTAAAACTATCATACGGCCTAAAACATTCGGAAACCATTTGAACCCATTAACAATATCAAATTTTAAGATAAAAGCATAAACGACCATTTATTCATTACCTCTCAACGAAAGGTATAATATGGTTCAGCTCATCAGAAAGTTCTCAATTCCAAACAAGAACATAAAAGTTCTCAAGAAACAAGAAAAATTCACAATTCCAAACAAGAAGAACAACACATCAACGGCATAAAGTTACCCCAAAGGCCACAAAGCATTAGTGGAGTTACGAGAGCAATGAAAGAACATGTCGAATCCTGACATTTCTTAAAATATCATCAATCAACTCCTCCAGATTATTCACCATCTCAACCGAGCTCACGACCGCGGGTTCGTTTGCGATGAACTGGTAATTAGCAGACAAGAGTCCTTGTGATTCGCCACCTCGCGTTATAGTGATTCCGCACGAAAAAAGTTGGACGCTGGAAATATCTCCACCGTTGAGTACAATTGCAAGAGATGACGCTTCCACGCAAGAGTGGATTATCATTGCTGAAGAAGAATAGTAAGTGTCTTCAATGAAACACCAATTCTTGGGTGTGGGAGCATCATCTCTTGCGGCTGTACTCTTAAGGAGGGGTCTTTCATTGAAGAAACTTACTATGATTCTTCTTCAGCAATGATAATCCACTCTTTCGTGGAAGCGTCATCTCTTGCGGCTGTACTCAATGATGGAGATATTTCCAGGGTCCAACTTTTGCTGTGCGGAATTACTATAATGCAAGGCGACGAATCACAAGGACACCTCTTGTCTGCTAATTACCAGGTCATCGTGAACCCAACCCGCGGTCGCGAGCTCGGTTGGGATGCTGACTAATCTGGAGGAGTTGATTGATGACACTTTAAGAAATGTCAGGTTTCGACATGCGCTTTCATTGCTCTTGTAATTCCATTAATGCTTTGTGGCTTTTGGATTAACTTTATGCCGTTGATGTGTTGTTGTTCTTATTTGGAATTGTGAATTTTTCTTGTTTCTTGAGAACTTTTATGTTCTTGTTTGGAATTGATAACTTTCTGATGAGCTTAACCATATTATACCTTTTGTTGAGAGGTAATGAATAAATGGTCGTTTATGCTTTCATCTTAAAGTTTGTTGTTTTAATGGGTCCAAATTGTTTATGTATGTTATAGGCCATATGATAGTTTTACCACTATACTTTCTTTATAGGATAATGCACATGAAAATAAAATAAAAATGACACATAAAAGTAACAATTTACAGTCTAAGTATCATAAAAACGAAAAAAATAGCTAAGATTTTAAAAAATTAAATTATATATATCAACTTTTTTTTTGAACAGACATCAGAAACGAACATTAATTTGATTATTTACCTCCACTTTAAAAAGGGTTGGAGTTAGAGCGTGAGCAGAAACAATAGATATAGAGGTATATCCCTGCCAAAAGGTAGGAGTTATGAATCTAGTAGTAGAGAGGCTACTAGCAATGTAATATTTGGTGGATTTTGTTATGTTAATTAAAAATTAGTCATATTGTTGCTTGTACTTTATAGGTACGTGTTTTGTATGTGTTGACTCAAAAAACATTTGCGGTTTTTATACGTTAGATTCAATTTTAAGGTTTCAAATATGTGCATTGTTTTTTTTTATTGTTTTCCTCAATGGTTTCAATGGTTACTCATTGTTGCATCATTTTTATTTTCTTATTTTTCTTCAATCTTTATTATCTATGATTAAATCTATAGGAGAAGCATATTGGTTTATCTGGAAATCAGAACGATCTGATTATCCAGTGGCATTAGTCAGGCACTCTAAACTCGACACAAGCAATATGGTAGTCCAAATTTGGATCCCATGGAATTCATGTCTTGTGTCCGTGGAACCGTTGAATCAAAGGAAGAGTTCATATTGTATCACCTCGGTACGTTCCTACTGGGCTAACCGGATCAGCCGATAGGGTCAGTCAAAAAAGAAAAAAAAAGAAGCATATTGAATGAATGATTTGAGAGAGTTAGGATATAAAGCGATTTAAGGAAACTTTAAAAGGATTTGAGATTTGAGAAGATTCTGCAAATTTATTATCATAAATTTTAAAGTGATTAGAAGGGATTTCACGGCATTTGAGAAACTAAAACAAATTTTAATTTTAATTTTAATTCTTCAAATAATTTAAAAGGTTACATGTCGTTATTTTTATTTTAAAAAATATTAAATAAATTTAGTACAACAACGCACATTTTTCATTTTGAGAAGCATTAATTGATCATTTATGAAAACAAATATTCAGACGAGGATGATTAAATCAAAATATTCTTTATATCATTTTTATGTAGTGTAATGTATTTTTTAATATATAATAATTTTTTTCAAAAAATATCATAATTGTGGAAGTTTTTGAAAGAAAATAAATAAATAAGTTAGTTTATAAATTTTGAAAAAATATTTATAGTTACCATTTTCCATATGCATCAACTAAATTTTATATTAAACTGCTTTTATCCATAAGTAATATTATGCATGGATTGAGAAGCTTATGAAGCACAATTAAGCTGATAAATATGATTATCAGTGTTAAACATTGTGAATTAGGTTTTTTTGAGAAAGAGAGTTGGAGACTCAAACCTTTCAGAAGTTTTTCTCTCACTGTATTCGTTTGTGTTGCCATTATGGCTTTCCTCAGAGTCTTCCTCTCCTTATAGGATCCAAAGCATTAACTGCCTTAGGCTAGCAAGTGGAGGCTTCATCCATTTCCAATGATCCATAACTTCCTGATCAAGTAAGCATACATGGAAGAGATTACATATGACGAACAAGGAGACAAAGACTTGAAATCTGATCACACTAAGAGAAAACAAAGAGAGGCTAAACTTACATCAAGATCCCATGATAGACTTTGCTTTCTCTCAAAAAAGTCTTTTGTCATCTCAAGCTCTGGAGTATTAGGCCAAGGTCTTGGACGATCTCCATGCTCATCCTTGTAGCGTATATCACATCGTTAAACTCTAAATAAATAAATAAAAATTAAATAAGCTTTCTCAAGAAGTTAGATCAAACCTGGTCCATGGAGCTGCCTCATTGTCACATCTCACAAAAAGGTAACGCACATCTTTAAAACACCCATTGAAAAAAAAACATAAGAATAGGTTAGAAAAAGAATCAATAAAAAAAACATAAGAATATTAAGTTGCCTAACAATTTTTAACGACACGATAAATTGGCCATCATGATAACTACCAAGTCCCAGAGAACTAATCCAAGTAAACAAAAACAGGATATATTAACAACGTATTAATGGATGAATTAGCTTATTCACACATTTCCGTTATCTATAAATATGGGTGAACACTGATTTATTGACACAATATTTTCATACATGGTAAGCACAGTCAAGTCCATGAAAACCTAGATATTTAAAAAAAACTATAATAGACTCGATAATTAACAGTTTCAGCAAACAACAATAGATATTGAATTCAGGTTTAAAGAATCCATGAAAACAGATTATACAAACAAGCATAAGAGAGAATGAGATATATAGTGAACATATACCATGACAGGTCTATCAGACAGATTATACGAACAATGCATGATAGCCTTGTACAACAAAATGTTATGGTGAAAATGTTTTCATGAGCAGTCAATTACTTCATGTGTTAGATGTTTTAGGCTAAACTTACTTTCTCTCAAACAAGTCTATTGTCATCTCAGGCTCTGGAATATTAGGCAAAGGTCTTGGACAATCTCTATGCTCATCATTGTAGCGTATATCACATCGTTAAACTCTAAATAAAAAAGATATTTTAAAATAAGCTTTCTCAAGGAGTCAGATCAAACCTGGTCCATGGTGCTGCCTTATTGTCACATCTCACAAAAAAGGTAACGACACATCTTTAAAACAGCCCATTGAAAAAAACATAAGATTAGGTTAGAAAAAGAATCAGTCTTTGTATATAAAGAAAAGAATGGTATGCATACCTGTTTTAAACCTTTTCTCCAGCACTTCTCAATCTTGTAAACCCCATCATATCTCAATCCTTTCTCATTGGCATATATGCTGCACGCTCCTTCTTAGACCTGATAATTTTTTTTAAGAAAGAAGTTTAATTTAATTAGGATCATTTTCTAATTTTATAGTTTTCTGGTTCAAATTTTAGTTGAAAGCAATGAACTTTTTCTCATAGAAAAGCTAACCTGATAACACAAACATAATAGCCCATTTTGCAACTCAATCTTAAAGCTTCATTTGCGTTTTCAAACTTCTGGTCAGATGTGTGCTCCTTGAAAGTCCCTTTGTTACCGCTGAGGTCTCTTCCTCCACTGTATGACACATATTCAAGACAAAAATAGAGGAAGTCTTATCACTATATTGTATAATTTCATGAATAAACAATAGAAACCAGGACTACTCAAATGGACCAAAAGCAAAAAGAGTGATGAAAAACAAACCTTCCTGTGTATACAAATCATTCTCCATGATCCTCGTCGTCCTCATAACCCGCGGGCTACAGACTGAGCTCCATACTTTGATTGTCTAGAAATTCCTGTGTATTCTAGTTTTAGGACCTTTGGCCAGACGAATGGCAGAGACAAGTGCATAGTTGATCTGAGGATTTGTGACCATTACGGCAGGAAAGGCAGTGCGGCATTTTGGAGAAGTACGCTTGCCTTGACCAACAGTCCATTTCCTAAAACACTTGAGACAGAAATTATGCCCACATGGTCCCTGAAAAATATACACACAAAACTTAATGGTTTGTCACTGAAAATAACAAAAGTGTACACTTAAACAAACTCAAAATTTGCCTAACGAACACGATAAAGTAGCCATCATAACACTAACTGCAACCAAAAAGAATACAAAGATGACCAACCGGTTAGCACAATTAAGTCCATGTTCGTTACTTCGATTTGTAGTTTAATTCACGCAGCGTAATTGTTAGCACAATTAAATTAAGTCCATGAAGATTCCATAAGAAAAGCACGATCTAAAATAGATTCGCGATTTAACATATTCATCAAACCAACAAAAGACCCCTAGATATTAAAATAGATTCGATAAGTAACAAGGTTCACCAAACATCAACAAAACCCTAGAAACTGAATTCAGCTTTAGAGTTTCCATGAAAAAAAGCAAAAGAGAGAAGCAGATGTACAGAATTGGAGGTAAACGAGGACAAACCGTGAATCGCAGCCATGAGATCCGATTGTTCGTTGGATTCGGCGACAGCCGCCATGAGGATCGATCTCGCCGGAGCAATCCGGACACTCCCACTGCAGAGTGAAAGCGAGAGTTTCCGGAGGGGAAGAGAGGCAGCAAGCGTGCCAAGGCGTGGTGCACGTGCTGCAAGTGAGAGATTCCTCCGGCGGAGGAGTTGCTCAGCATCGACTGGAACCTCTAAAAGTTGTTGAGGGAGAGGGAGACGAAAAGTGGAGGAGCGGGTCTTTTAGATTTTTATTTTTTTATTTTCAGTCAACAAAATGAAATGAATATAAAAACAAATAATGCATGTACTTCCATAAAATAGACAAATAGCCAAAAGGCAAAAGCAAAATCCGAGTAAAAGATAAAACCAAATCAACATATTAGGACTAATATATCTCCAAGTTAGGAAAGAAATCTCAGCCAAGTCCAAGTGTGATTTGTTTTATTCTGGCCTAATTTAATATCATCAAATGACATTGTGTTGTGTCATGCGTATTGTTTTTTCTTTTGTGGCTTGATTTCCAAACTCTTACTGTGTACGTCTTCTCGTTTCTCTAAGACTCGGCGTTTCCTTGCCTCTCAAGTGAGCAGAAGCAGCTATTTTCTTGTGTTTCTGTTTTTATTACAACAGAAATGCAACAGGTATATATGCATGCTAATGTGTTTGTGGCATTGTATCAGACTAATGTGTATATATTTCTTTGACAGGATCATCTTAAACTGAGATTTCCGTGATTACACTCTCACTGATTTCTATGAATCTGAAACTCTTATACAACATTGTAAATCAACAAAGAAAATTTTGTCTTTGCTCAACATGACGTACATATGCTTTTTGATGTTTGGTGGGGCGGATTCAGCTTGAAAGCAGGGTGGGCAGCTGCCCCCTATGAAATTACTAAATTAGTGCAATTTTGCAAAGGATTTTCATTATGCCCCTCTTGATATTCTATTTTTAAAGAGGTAAAAAGTACTTATGCCCCCCCATTAAATTATTCTCTAGATCCGCCCCAAGGGTATGGTATGACCGAGACTTCATGTCTCATCACTATGGATGAAGGTGACTTTGTATCTGCAACAGCAACACATGCAAAATGCGGCATCTCTATCGTTATCCAATCTCAAAATGCGGCATCTTTTTTTTTTTTTTTTTTTTTTTTTTTGCGTTTATAGCGTTTTGACGCAGCTCTTTATGATTCGACTTCTTTACCAAACAAATGCCGAATTGTGTACTAAAGAACCGTATTCACAGTACAATAATATTCCATTTCTGCATGAGATTAATAACATATCAAGAAGCTTTCGATCCGAAACTTATTAAATTTGATTGTATTTAGGGTTTCATCTATTAGTTCCATGCATTTTGGGAACTTTCTACCACAATTAACGACCGTTGATCCTAAATACACTTCATGTTGTATTTATACATATGTTTTAGAAACTTAAGCTACAACAAGCTGAATGGTTCATTTTCCGTCAAAAGAAATCAAAGTTCCAAAGAACTGTATTAACATTACAGTACGTGCAATAACTTCGATTTCCATTAAGATTATAAAATATAGTATTGTTACACATAAATATCGAAGCTTTTGATTCAAAACTCATCAAATTTTATTATATTTATGATACAATTTTGATCCAAAACTCATCAAATAATTAATTTTGAGAACCCTTTGTAAACTTAAAATTGATTTGGAATGACAATTTCGCTTATAAATCACTAAACTTTTAAAACAAGATATTCATAATTATAATTTGTCTAAAACCTCACATTCTTTTAAACTCCTCAAATCCTTTTTTATTTTTTATAAAGTACTCCTGGAATCCTTCATCAGCAACATCCTCCGGAATATGAGAAACTCCTTCAACACTTGTCACTCTTACATTTTCTATACAAATAAACGCAATAGCTTTCCGTATCAAATAATATTGGCAAAAATTATTGTATAGGCATATGGAGATTTATAAAAACACACCAAGTCATAGACATTTTACTAAAAACACATATTTTGTAGATCAAACTATCGATATTATTTTTATATAGCATGTTTAGACTAAACAAGATAACAATATAAATTTGGACGATAATATTAGCTTTGAAATCACCAATTCTCCATAATCGTAAGATACAAAAGGTCTTTTCTGGTCAAAATATTTTGTACTTATTCAGCTTTCTTTTGACATGCTCAATATATCTCCAAGTCGCTAGGTAATGTACAGTAGAAACTCTATAAATTAAGAATAATGAGACTTTGATATTTTATTACTCCCTCCATTTCAAATTAGTTGTAATTTTGGCAAAATGTATCTGCAAATATTTGGATGTATTTGAATGTGTTTTAATCTAGATACATCCAAATATTTGCATATACATTTTGCCAAAGGACAACTAATTTGAAACGAAGGAAGTAATTTATAGAGTTATTACTTTAACGATTTTGACTAAATAATATTAAACAAAAATAAATTTAATGATAATAATCTTCTCAGTTTTCATTTATGTTAAATAAGAAATTTCCCTTTAAAAAATATTTTCTTAATTTTATTCTTGATATTTCTGTATTTACTTTACACTTTTTTCAATTTTTTCACACTATTATAATTTCTTTAAATGCAGTTACGCATGAAAAGACGATTATCACATCTTGAACTCTTCATAACTTTTAGATGCAGTAAGAAAATTAGATATGAGCTTCAGAAATAATTCAACTTTAAGAAAAAAGCAAACATTAAATTCATATATTAGTAGCTTAACTTAGTATATATATATTTATAAGCTTTTATATGATAATTATTAATTTACGATATTACTGGGACCATATTTTACATAGGATTATGAAAAAAAATTATTATCTTATTATCTTATTATATTGTGTTATATTTTACAACGGCCCAACTTGGGACCGAGAGATTTTATTAATTTATCGTGTTTATTAATACTCGATAAATTAATAAACACGATAAACTAATAAAATTTTCCGATCCCGAGTTGGACCTTTGTAAAATATAAAACAATTCGATAAGATAATAATGTTTTTAAAACTACTATGTAAAATATGGTTCCAATAATATCATAAATTAATAATCATCATATAAATATTATATATATATATATATATTGTGTGGAACCATTTTGTTTGATTTGTCTATCTCCGAACGACCTTAGCGCAGATATGAAAATCGGATTTCATTGTGTGGAGCTCACTGAGAAGATTAAAAACTGCCATGTCTATTAGTAAGAAGGATTATTGGTAAGAAGCTTTAACCGTCTCATTTATAAGTAAAATATCTCATGTTTACATTTCCCAGCAAGGAAAGAGATCTCAGCCAACTCCAGCTGTAATTTGTTTTAGGAGATTTGTGATTATACACAGAAAAGAGGGAAGGTTTGTCCATATACACATTTTCATGTTTTTACCTATTTTTGCCATTAATACCCTTTATATATTTAAAAATATGAAATAGTTTATGTAGAAACCCAAAATATTTCTAAAAATCAGATAAATGATCTTCAGACTTGTTATAATTTTTTCACAATTTTTTTTCAAAAATATGATTTTTAAAAAATATATTGAAGTTTTCTTCTACCAGCTCTGAAATTCAAAGTAGAATATGTATCCTACACGTTTTTATTACATCTACTGGAGATAGAATTCGATATCTACCATTTATACACACATCTTCCACTTGTAGAACACGAGTTCTATAATCTATATATACCTCTACTATTAGTAGCATATCACTTCTACCTGTTACTCTATGTTCTGCGATTTTGTAAATTTGGTAGAAGATATGTTCTACCAAAAACAAAGTTTTCTACATGTTCTAGAATTTGTTGTCTACGAGAAACACAGCCTTCTACGCAGGCGTAGATTTCGTATTCTGTTACACACATTATCTCTTACCATCCGTAGAGTTCAGTTTCTACTAAAAACCACTTTTCTACCATGTTGGTAGAGGTCGTGTTCTTCTAGAAATCAGTCTTCTACCAAATGTAGAAATCGTCTTCTGCCGGAAATCTTAGAGAATATTAACAAATATTTTTTTGAATATTTTGTTTCCTTTTTCTTCTCCAACCTTCTCCCACGACACAATTGTGGCAACTTCTTCTCCATTCCCATCTTCTTAGCCGTCATCTTTTCGAAATTATTTGGCGGAGAAGAGGAAAACACAGAGGAGTAGTTTGAAGGAGAAGAACAGACGGCAACAGAAGAGGCGACGGAGGATTATGTGACGGAGAAGAGAGGAGAGAAAATAGATGATTATGTGACGGAGAAGAGCGGAGAAGAAGAATGTCGCAGAAGAAAAGAAATGTCGGAGAAGAAGAAGAGAGGAGAGATGTCGGGGAAGAAAGGAAATATTTCACTTTTATGTTTAATTAAAAATATCCCAATTAAAGGGTTAATTACTTTAATCAATTTTAAGGGTAAAAAGGGATTATAAGTTGGCAAAATGTGTAGTGAGACAAAAATCTCTCCAAATTGTGTATTGGGACAAAGACTCTCCCAAAGCTGTGTATTTTGCCATTTTTCTCATTTGTTTTTAATTAGCTTTTGGTATAATAATCTGGCCTAATTTAATATTATCAACTGACATTGTGTTATATCATGCGTTTTTTTTTTTGTGCCTTAATGTTCTGCTAGTGATTAAGTGCTTCGTTTAGATATTTTTTCTTAACTCCATTAACTTTATAAACGTTGCACAACAGCATAAAGGTGCTTAATTCGTTTAAGATCCTCTTGTGACTTGTACTTGATTATCTCTTTCACTACATTTACTTTCCAATTTTTATTTGCTTCTCCTCTCACCTTTTACAAGATAAATTTGTATATAGAAGCCAATATTACTACAATAAATCATCACTGATGCGTATACTTGCTAGATTGATTTAGGTGTATCAAAATTTAGTTAAGCAATGCCTATAATGCAAAAAGCAACTGAAAATTTTCAACTACACTTTTAAAAGAGGAAATAATTCCGGGAGAGAGGGTTAATAATTTTGATTGATAGGCATTGCTTGACTATCTATAAATTCTTTGTGAAGAGTGTACGTATATTATCTGTTTGTCTAGAAATTCTTCCATGTTTCAAACTCTACGTACAGGTTTGATTGTATTGTATTATTTTCTATGTAGATATGAATGATATGTTTTAGATAGCTTTATGATTCAACGTTTTAGTAAACTAGTATTTAGATAACCCAATTTGCCTTTTAGGATTAGTTATTTCTTCTCACTTCTTGGGCTGGGCCCTTGTATAATTCATGGGCTAGACTTTTGTATATCTAGACTTTGCCTTTTAATTAATCATGGGCTTTGCCTATGCATTTTCTTATGGGCTACAAATGATTTTACTCTTCTTCTTGTCATCAAGAATCAAGTTGCTTTGATTAAGGAAAGATCTTCTTCGTTTTTCTTTTCTTTTTTTTTTTTTTGTAAAAATGTTAAACTTTTATATCATTTTCGATTTGAGACAGAAATACAAAGAAAACTTAAAAAGCAGAAAGACCAACAACAAAAACTACAGCAACAAATAGACAAACCAAAGAACAAAACCAACAAGCTAGACACACAACAAAACGACCAGCGGATTCCCAAAGACAAAACACCGATTCCAATAACCACCCTCGGAAATTTACACTTGCAATTCCTAGAAATTCGAGTCCTCATCGTAGTTGCCACAAGCAGCCTATCCGAAGCAGTCCTCAAACCTCGCATAAAATGGCACCTACGGCTTCTCCGAGGACAAGCACAAAAACGAGAACGCTTACACCCACATAACTCCAAACCGGCGGCACGTGAGCCTCTTGGGGCAGCCAGAGAAGCCGCCTCTAGCCACCATTCCCAAACTTAAAAAGCTGCGAGAATCATCTCCCATGGAAAGAAATTAGTCGCCAAGCAAGACTCGCCGCCTCTATTCGAATTCAAAGCACCACCGATCAAATTGAAGGATCTATTGCCTGACCAAGTCTTGACCACTCCCATCCGCCACCTGAAAAAAGAAAACACAAACGGATAGCTGTTAAGGGAGCCATACCGGTGGCCAATTATAGCACAGATCCGCAGGTCGTCACCCAAGATCCGACTCCAGAACCACCGTCCAGCAACAGTCACCGACATGAACAAGACGAGAGAGACGACGGAATGGGCCACCACACCAGCACGCCTTACAGTAGAAAGAGCACGGCATTGAAGACCCGTTCTCAAGGACTCCACACACCACTGAATAGATCTAGAGCGGATCTTCTACCAAAAGCTTCGTTTAAAGCGATCAACGTCATAAGCCCACACGCTTCCCAAAGAGATGAAAAAAGCCACTCGGATTCTAGGAATGACCACCGCACAACGCCGGAGTCCACACCGCCGTTGCCCCCGACATGAAACCGGAAGAAAGAATCAGTCAGATCTGAATCTCTCCACCACCCACGTCAGGACAGAGACCAGCGCACCACACCGGAGGAGAAGCCGCCACACTCTACCTCCGCACCAGTCACCACACCACAAAGACGAAGGACCACGCCTCCATGGGAGCTCGAACCTGAACCGAAAAGAAACTCTCCACAGAGCAAAACAGAGAGAGGACCGAGAGGAGAAGAAAGAGAAGGGAAAGGGGCCCTTTCCGGCGGTAGCGAGGAGCGCCAGCCGCCGGAAGAGGAGAATCAAAGAGGAAGAAGAAGGGGCGGCGCTGAAGAGAGAGAAGAGAGAGTTTTAAAAAAAACAATTAGGGCGAACTCGTCACTGAACTAATAACATTTTCTCCTTCGTTTTTCTTCCATGGTCGGGAGAGATTATTAACATCCCTTTTTACTAAAGGATGCTATTCTTCAACTTCAAAATTGGAAGTAGCTGCCAATTTCCTTAACGCATGTCTTCATGCAGTGGTTAAGGTCTGGTTATTCAAGTCCCAAGTGACTCCACTTCGATCTGTCGGCATTGCCGTGATGATCCCCTTGAGGCAAGCGAGTTTCGGCTCCATTTTGCTGTCAATTTATCTGATTTTGATGTTTAGCTTTTGTACTTTCATACAGGTTGCTATCATATATGAAGATGGTAGTGCTTACTAAAAGTCTTAAGCAGCAAATGAGGAAAACGAAGAAGAAAGAGTGGTCTATCAGATTTCATCGGAGTTGCATGCACAACTACGACTCCATCAAAAATATATTGAAATGAAAAAGCTTCTTCGCCTTTCATACTCGCCACTCATAATTTATCAAGTGATAACTTTTATAAATAGATGCTCTAAATAATAAAATAGTTCACAAATTTGTTAAATGACACATCCTAAATTAAGCATTGTGTAAACAGGTGAACAATTTGATTTTGTTTGTTTGCCTTTCTATTTTTTATATAAAAAAATTATCAATACTATTTTTTAATATTATAAGCATTTTCAAAAATGTTCAAATATTTTACATAGTGCTGAAATCATTTTTAAGAATTACGGAATTTTTTTTCACTTGAAAAAACATTTAGTATGAGTTATAAATAAGTTGAAAAGCAATCTTGACAAAAAATGACCAAAGGCAAAAAAGGTGTACAGGGACAATAACACTTTCAATTTGGGGTAAATTGCTAATTCTCCCTTTTTACAAAGCACATGTGTTGTGTTTTTCATGGGAATAAAAAGCAGTTAAAATTAATAATATATCTCTTTTGGCTTGGAACAAGGAGACAGAAGCATCAATGCTTTTATCTTTTAGTTACTTCTACCGTTCAACTTTGAATAGTGAACCACTCACCATTAACTTGTCTTATAAAGATATCTAATACTGATTGGTGAAGAGAGCCATCCATGTTACTTACACAAAACATAATTCGATTGAATGAAATTTAGTTTGTTAAAGTAAATACCGTTTCTTCTTCGTTTTTATTAGAGACTTAATGGAGGAAAAGCCCCTGAAGAGAAGAGTAGTATTGGTTCCAGTAACATTACAAGGACATATAACTCCAATGATGCAACTCGGTCAAGCCCTAAACTCGAAGGGATTCTCAGTTACAGTTGCTCAAGGGGTCTTCCATCATCAAGTAAGCTTTTCGGAAGACTTCCCTGAATTTCACTTTGTCACCATTCCAAAGAACTTACCGGAGTCTGATTTCAAGAATCTCGGACCAGTAGGGTTTTTTCTTAAGCTTAACAGAGAGTGTCAGGTGGGCTTCAAGGAGTGTTTTGGTCAGCTGTTATTGCAACACATTAATGAGATCTCGTGTGTCATCTACGACGAGGTCATGTACTTTGTTGGAGCCGCAGCCAAAGAATTTAACGTTCCAAACATTATTTTCAGCACAACAAGTGCCATCACTTTTGTTTGCCGCTATGTATTCCACAAACTCTACGAAAACAATGGTACTATAGTCATTCTCTGTTTATGTTTTTTTTCTAGTGTCTATAAACTAGAATAGCTGCATGGTTCTTCTTGACCTTTGTTTTCAGAACCCAAAGGACAAGAAGACGAGCTAGTGCTAGACTTTTATCCCCTGCGATACAAAGACTTTCCGGTTTCACGTTGGGCATCGTTAGAAAGCATAACGGAGCTGTACCGGAAAATGGTTGACAAACGGACAGCTTCCTCTGTGATAATCAACACGGCAAGCTGTCTAGAGAGCTCGTCTCTTTCTCGGCTACAACAAGAACGACTAGAAATTCCTGTTTATCCAGTAGACCCACTTCACATGATGGCCTCAGCTCCTACAAGTCTGCTTAAAGAGGACAACAGCTGTATAACATGGTTGAGCAAGAAAAAGGTAAACTCGGTGATATACATAAGCTTGGGAAGCTTAGCTTTGATGGAAATTATAGAGGTGATTGAAATAGCTTCAGGACTGGCTGCTTGCAGAAAACCCTTCTTGTGGGTGGTCCGACCAGGCTCCATACGTGGCTCAGAATGGATAGAGTGCTTGCCTAAGAAGCTTCTTAAGATGGTTTCGGGTCGAGGTTACATTGTGAAATGGGCTCTGCAGAAGGAAGTACTTGCTCATCAGGCAGTAGGAGGGTTTTGGAGCCATTGTGGACGGAACTCGACACTAGAGAGCCTCGGGGAAGGAGTTCCAATGATTTGTAGGCCGTTTTCGAGTGATCAAAAGGTGAACGCGAGGTACTTGGATTGTGTTTGGAGAGCTGGGATTCAAGTGGAAGGCGAGCTAGGAAGAGAAGTGGTTGAGAGAGCTGTGAGGAAGTTACTGGTCGGTGAAGAAGCTGAGGAGATGAGGAAGAGAGCCATCATTTTGAAGGAGAAACTGAGAGCCTCTGTTACAAATGAAGGTTCTTCACACAACTCGCTAGAGGAGTTTGTGAACTTCTTGAGAACTTTACCATATATGCAGGCCCGGCCTATGCATGTGCTGGAGGTGCATATGCTCAGGGTCCAGTTTCAAATTTGGGCTTTTTGGACGTTTTACACTATGAAAAAATGTCCAAATATTCTATTTTCTTAATTTTTCTTATACAAAACCCCAAATTATTTTTTCTAGCTCTGGGTCTCATAAATCATTGGGCCGGGCCTGCATATATGCCAGTGAACACACTAGGTTACAACACAAGGTTCTTCTGATAAGTTAGAAAGTGTGGGTGAATAACTTGTGTAATTTATGAAAAAATCAATGTACTTTTTATTTTACTAGGAGATGACCCGCGGTTCGCGCGGGAATTTATATTAATTGTGTTAATTCTATTGTTTTTTCCGCAAATTTAATTTATTTATGTGGTTTATTATTGTTTCAAAAATATTACACATATTAATTAAAAATAATTAGGTTTAGGCAAAATTAACGTATCTGTCCCATCGTATTCCATTTTGTTCATTTTCATCATGTCCATTCTTTCCCGTCCCATCTGTCATGTTTGTCCCGTCTCGTCCCGTCCTATCCCATCATGTTCATTTCCATTTTGTTATGTCTCATCATGTTCCTTCCGTTTCTTCTCGTCCCGTTCCCTAAATATAACTAATGATAGGCAAAATTCCCGTATAGTCATATCCCGTCCTATTTAATTCTTTATCATCTTGTCTCGTTCTTTCCTTGTCCCGTTCTGTCCTGTCCGTCCTATCGAGTCTCATCCTATTATGTTTTTTTTGTTTTGTCGTGTCTCTGTCCTATCTCTAAATATAATTAGGGGTAGGTGAAATTTATGTCCCGTCCCTTCTCGTCATATTATGTCCCTTTCATCATGTCCCGTCCATTTCCATCTCATTCCATTTTTTTCATCTCGTCATGTCTAATTTGTCTGTCTCTTCTCGTCCAGCCTTATCCCGTTTCATTATCTTTCTTTCCGTCTTGTTCTGTCTCATCATGTTCCTTTCGGTTTTTTCTATTCCGTCTCTAAATATAATTTGAAGTAGGCAAAATTTTGTGGTATCCCATTCCTTTTCGTTCCTTTACATCCCATCTCGTCATTTAATATAATAAGAAGTGGACAAAATTCATTTCTTCTCTTGTTATGTTTTTTTCGTCTCATCTTATCTGGTCTCGTCTCATTTCATCTAAAATACTTAAAAAATCTAAAATTGTATAATCTAACAAAAATAAATTTACTAAATAATAGTTTTTAGATCTATACATTATCTTTCTTTTTTTTTTTTGAAATGACTTTTCATATTCTTGTTAAACTTATTATAGTAATGAATGTTAATTATTATCAAATTAAAATACTAAAAGAGAAAATATAATAAAATAAATAAAGTTGACGTGGCGAATTGGAAAATTTAGAGACAACCTCTTTTGCTGAGGTGGCAGCCTAAGAATAGAATTACATCAACTATATATATATATATATATATATATATATATTTTTTTGCAGTTTCTAGATATATTTGCTACAATCTTTCTTGAGGAAATAATCAATAAGTGCACAACTGTAATATGAGGATAACGTTTAATTTATTCATGACACCCTCCATCTTTAAATTCATAGTCATTAGTTTGGAGGCCATTAAGCAAAGGAATAAAAATAGGGTGAATTGAGTCAATATCATCAGATGAATCTGAAACGAAGAATACAACGGTAATAGTGTGGAATTAGAACGATACATATGTCAGAGAACGATTTTGTCTATTTTGCCCCTATATGCTGAAGCGCGTGAGATGTTGGTGTTTTGCTCCAGAAGACAAGGCATTAAATGCGGCTATTTTCCTCTGGATAATAAAGTGAATTCGAAAATTAGCTGATAGTGTTGTTATCAGTATTTGTTAGCGTGGTAACCATATGAAACTTGGTTGGTTTGTTATCTGTTAGCTAGTAAGCATTTGTTAGCATGTTAATCGTAACGAATTGATGCATTGATATAGATTATCATGTGCAATCAGTTGTTAGCACGCAAACTATCTTGTTATGGTTAAACTTACTTATGTGATTACCACGGCAACCATGGGCATGGTCTTTTGTTCACACATGTCACGTCTCAAAGAGGGGGGAGTTCCTTTAATTCTTTACCCTAAACCCAAACACTAAACCCTAAGCAGCATAAGGTAAACCCTAATGAACGATTCGTGAACCCTAAAACCAACCCCAAACCCAACCCTAAACCCTAAACCCTAAATCCCATAAACTAAACCCTAAACAGCATAAGCTAAACCCTAGTCAAGGACTGGTGAACCCAAACCCTAAACCTTAAACCAAACCCAAACACTCAACCCAAACCCATACCTAAACCCTTACATGCTAACGTCACTCTCAAGTAGTCAGCAATTGTTACTGTGGTCGTATTGTTACCATGATCTACAAGTTATGCGATTTTGCTAGCTTATGTGATTAGCACTCCAACACTGGACATCGCCTTTTGTTCACATGCGAAAGATTTGCAAAAAGGCACCGCCAATCTAATGTGGGACCATGATATATTTGAACCTGATATATGAACTTCCTTGTATGCAACACTTGTAGACGCCTATAGGTAGGGTTTATTGTGTCTTTTTTTTTTGAATCATATATATGAATTGAGACCAACTCTCTCCATATGATTGACATGTGGCAAAACTTTTAAAGAGAGCAGTCTCTTCACATTCTTAGTCGTTACAGTTATACTAGGTTTCAAAACCGTCGGTTGCTTCACCTTCCATGTTGTTTCAACACTCCATTTATTGATATTCTTGCATGACTTTTCCTCTTCTTTCCAGTCAATAACTCTAAATCTTATACATTTCAAATTATGATAATAGTAATCACTCTACTAATCCAAGACTTTTAAATTTCGACTTTCATTTTGAGTTATTATTAAACATCTAAATTCTCCTAATATATGGAGAAATGGATTTAGCAAAAATCGATAGCAAAAATCACTCTATTAGTAGAGTCCGTTCTATGTGGTCGTGAGTAAACAAATAGAGTTAATGGTTCATAGACATGTGGTATGATACAAAAATATATGTTTGAAAGTCATTCCCTAACCAACAAATAGAAATTAAATATGGATATTATTGGATTATACTTTATAATATTAATAATTGCAAATCTAAAATTGTTTTCGAACATTTTTTAAAAACTTTAACAACAACAAAACCCGCGCATATGCGCGGACATTATTCTAGTAGTAGATGAATAGTGGTCGAAAAAGATGTCAGAAAAGGGCACTTAATTATATTATTAGCTGTGTATATTCATTGCAATAACCTATAAAAATATTTTAGATAAAATTAGTTGTAGTTCATGCCAACGAATCTTTAATATTCATTGAAGTATAACTCTTATGTTGCATTAACTACTAGTTCTACGCTACTTTTAGTTTAAATTTTGGATTTGTGGAAGGTTCAGGGAGTCGCACAAATGCATGAAACTAATCAAGAAAATTTGGTTTGCAAACATGATGAATATTTGAAACAGTGATCTCTGTTCTACATAATTTAAGGTTTGTTTACTCGTTTTCCCAAAGAAACACTTAATTTGTTTATTTTGTCAACACTTTCGACTTTGACTATACTGAAAGTTGAATTTTCCCCATTTTTTGTTTTTTTTTTAATGAATTTTCTCAGTTTTATTAACTAATAATGATTCATTGTAACTTTCAAGAAAACTACTTGAAATTTTTGAATTATCATTGGTTAAAAATCATAGAAAGTTATCAAATACAGAAAATAATGCATTTACTGTTGAATTTTGTATTTTTCTTAATTTAGGTAAGTTTTTATATATACATATTCTTTTAAAACAGACGAGTATAATCCAAGATTATTATCACTAAAAATAAAAACTAAGATTAGATTATAACTGATTATGTAAAAAATTTGAGACATATATATATAATAAAACAAGCATATCATAAACCCACATCAGTTTTTCTTAAATCAAATTATTGGACCAGTTTCAGTTGATCATTATTCTGTACAATAGAATTAAGCCCAACAAGCTAGACAAGCCAAACATAAACAAAAGAGAAAAAGAAATGAATTAATGTTATGGGTAATATGTGGATGCCCATTAGCCCACTAGGTCCACTTCTCTATTTGTCTCTTCTCCTTTGAAACCCTATGTTATACTCTATATAAAGAACTCCTCTACTCATGAATAAGACAATTTCATTCTCTCATTTCACAACACGTTATCAGCACGAGTCTCTACCTCTTAGCTTTCTATTTCTCTCTAAATCAAAAGTTCTAAAAGTTCTAATAGTTCTTATAGTGAATTCACAAATTCAATGAGTAATCTCTATTACTTTGTTGATTTGTGTTTATTCAACTAAAATCCATTTCTATCAATACTTAATCTATATTACTTACTGATAATATTTTGGATTCAGCAAACATATGCTTTATATATATTTATTTTATTTTCGTAATATATACATATGCAATTGTATATATATCCCTGAAGGATCTATATATTATTTTTCTTTGAAGGAATTATATATTTCAATTATATACATCCCTGAAGGATTTGTATTTTATTTATATCCTTGAATGATTTATATTTTATTTTTATCCCTGAAGGAATTTATATATTATTTATTTTTATTATATCCCTGAAGATTCATATTTATTTATATTTTATTTATATTTTATGTTTATTTTATTTCTATCCCCGAAGGATTTATATTTTATTTATATACTTGAAGGAATTTCTATTTTATTTATTTTATTTCTATCCCTGAAGGATTTATATTTTATTTATATCCTTGAAGGATTTATATTTTGTTTCTATTTTTATTTATATCCTTGAAGGATTTATATTTATTTATTTTATATATATATATCCCTGTAGGATTTATAACTTATTTATATCCCAAAAGGATTTTATATTGTTTATTATTATCTATTTGCTTTTCACATTTATTTATTTATTTTCGTAATTAATTAATTGCTAAATTGAATAATTATTGGAAATTGAAGAAATTTGAATTAATTTGCATTGTTTGCATTAATTTGAAATATTCTTGCATTGATCACTTGACTATATTAAATTGTTATTTTGACCATTTGATCAAATAAGACCATGCTTTAAATTTTCG